AATGAGAAGTGTCGAGTTGGACTTTTGTGCAACAGTTAAGCAAGGGCCAGCGTGTATGTCCAGCTGTCTCTCTCACATACACACACACACACTCACACACACACACACACACACACACACACTCACACTCACACACGCACAAACAGGCTGCAGTCTCCAGTGAACAGAGTCAGCATACAGCCATAGCGGAGGTTCCTCTCTCCTCGGGCCAGATGAGCATTCTAGTTTTCTTCCCCACATAAACACGATAAGCTCCATTTCGTTGGCCCTTGCAAGGGTCCAGGGGTTACTGAGTTCTTTCCTTCTACGCTCTCTTTCTCTTCCTCTCCTTGACCTTTTTCCTTCCTCTTTTTTTCCGGTCCTTCTGCTTTTCTGCGATTTTGGTAGATGGCAGAGTGCTCACGATAAAACTATCATCCAGGATTTAAACGCCTGGGACACTTTCAGAGACACTTTCATTTGTAGTGTGAAAAAAACGACCTTTTCTAAGAATGATTCATATTTCCAACACTGTCAACACACACACACAAATAGGAAATATTTGTGAGAATATTACACGAGATGGGCGTTGCAAATGCGCCACAAACCATCGTCAGTTGAGACTTGCCAATGAAGCTGGAAGCACGTCTCTGTGTCTGCTGTGCCATCCGTCAGACCAAGACTGTCCATTTCGTTCTCATGCTTCAGCAACGCGGACGGGAACTAATCCACGGAATGCCAAAACTAAAAGACTATCTGTGTTCGTGTTTGTGTGTGCATTTAAATAAAATGGCAGTGCCACCGGTCTGGCACACCGGTGATGACAAAGGTTTTGTCTGCGAAAAAATCAAGACGAACACTCACATGTACACAAACATAAACAAACAGTCATGTATCCACAAATATAAACGAAAGCACACACACACACATTCACACAAACGTCCAAAATACTAAAACATGCACCCACATACGCACAGACACACAGACACACAGACACACAGACACACAGACACACACACACACACACACACACACACACACACACACACACACACACACACACACGCGCACACACACACACACACACGCACACGCACACACTCACATTTGTGTTCACAGAGCCCTGCTAATGATGGTGGCAGTATGATATTTGTGTGTGTTCCAAAAGAATTGGCATTACTACTTGGGCAAAATCAGCAGCCAACAGCAGCGGGCTATTAACAAAACTGTTTCTTTGTTTGCTTTTTCCCTTTTTTTTTCTTGCGAGGCGCCAAGCAATCAACGGTCTGCCTATGGGAGACCAGTAAACGGTGCCACAGTGGAGAACATATGCACAATGATGCAAGACGGCACGGCGAAAGAATATATGATATTACGACCGGCCCGCGCTATCATTCAGATCTTTACTGCCGGAGGGATTAAAGAGGTTTAGCTGACATCCAGTATGACAAGTCACACTTTTGATTGTCTTGGCCCGTGTACAAGTTCAAAGCTTCCTAGCACCTACAACGATGAGACACTGAGTTTGTGTGTGTGTGTGTGTCTGTGCATGTACGTGTGCATGGTTGGAGGTGGTGTTACCATGGTGAATTAATCTTCCACAGCACATGGAAACTTGGATCAGTTACAAACCTTTGTAATATCAGCCCAATATTACAAATTCAATTCAATTCATTTTATTTTGTATAGCCCATAATCGCAAATTACAAATTTGCCTCAGAGGGCTTTACAGTCTGTACACATACAACATCCTCTGTCCCGAAACCCACCATCGGCACAGGAAAAACTCCCCAAAAAATGAAAAAACTCTTCCAAGAGGGAAAAAAGGGAAGAAACCTTAGGGAGAACGTCAGAGGAGGGATCCCTCTCCCGGGATGGACAGACTACAATGGATGCCATGTGTACAGAATGAACAATATATAATACATGCAATTCCTATGACAGAAATGATTCAAGTAATTGTGAGTAGTAAGCCAGGCGCACAGCAGGACCACTGCAGGGGCAACCACCATCAGATAGAACCACCATCCACAGAAGCCTGTGGGGAGGGAGAGCACAGAGACTTAAGGAGAGGGTAATGTTGGTTTACGAGTACAGTAATATGATTAATATCTAAAATAATAATGATGATGATGATGGCTGCAGCAGGCGTCAGCAGGGCCACGGTGGGTGTCGGGACCAGGGTCCCGAAGGAACCACGATTTCCGGAGACCTGCTAGGGGAGAAAGCACAAAAAAAAAAAAAACTCCCGGAAAGAAGCTGAATTAGTCATGTGCATTAATAAAACGTGAATTATGGTAGAACAAGAGCGTGAGAGAGGAGCTTGGTGTGTCCTAAGAATTCCCCCGGCATTCTAAGCCTATAGCAGCTCAACTAAGGGCTGGTCCGGGCTAACCTGAGCCAGCCCTAACTATAGGCACAATCAAAGAGGAAAGTTTTAAGTTTTACTTTAAAAGAGCTGACCGAATCTGCCCCCCGGACTGAAAGTGGAACCTGGTTCCACAAAAGAGGAGCTTGATAACTGAAGGCTCTGGCCCCCAGCCTACTTTTTAAAACCATAGGAACAACAAGTAACCCAGCATTTATGGAGCGCTGTTGCCTTGTAGGGCAATAAGGTATTACAAGCTCTTTAATATACAACGGTGCCTCACCAGCAAGTGCCTTGTAGGTGAGGAGAAGTACCTTAAAATCTATTCTTGATTTAACAGGGAGCCAGTGCAGAGAAGTTAATACAGGAGTGATATGATCCCTTTTCTTAGTTCTTGTTAATACACGAGCTGCAGCATTCTGAATCAACTGGAGAGGCTTAAGAGATTTACAAGAGCAGCCTGATAACAAAGAATTACAGTAGTCCAGTCTGGAAGTGACAAACGCATGAACTAATTTTTCTGCATCACTTTTAGACAGGAAGTTCCTGATTTTTGAAATGTTACGTAGATGAAAATAGGCAGTCCTTGAAGTCTTCTTTATATGCGGGTTGAAGGTCATATCCTGGTCGAAGAGAACTCCCAGATTCCTGACGGTGCTGCTGGGTACCAGAGCAATTCCATCCATAAAAACTGTATCACGTGACAGCTGGCTTCGAAGGCGCTCTGGGCCTATCAGGATAACTTCCGTTTTTTCTGAGTTTAGCATCAGGAAGTTGACGGTCATCCAAGTTTTGATGTCTCCAAGACATTCTTGAAGTCTAACTAGCTGGTCCGTCTCTTCTGGCTTGATCGACAGATACAGTTGAGTATCGTCTGCATAACAATGGAAGTTTATGCGGTGTTTCCTGATAAGATCGCCCAAGGGAAGCATATAGAGGGTAAATAAAATCGGTCCAAGTACAGAACCTTGTGGGACTCCGTGACCAACATTGGTGGTCTTTGAGGATTCACCATTTACAAGCACAAACTGGGATCGATAAGTTGGAGTGTATTGATACAGATACTTCAAAGCGACCTGTGCGCAGTGCACGTGCATGCCGAATGTTTCCATGAAACAGCACGTCAAGCGTCGTACTCATGCGTCACATCCTGTGAAAACCGCATTATTTAGAAAAAGTAAACTTTCAGCGGAAATGAAAACGGTTCAACTTGCCCACTTAGCTCTGGATGTGGGGAAGTAAGAGCTTTGGTGGTCACAGTCAGCGGCCTCTGTTAAATATTACGAGTTGCAATGCTGAAAACACAGAAACACCCAATAATGGCCTTAATTCTATTGTCAATTAGCACAGAACATCAAAAGTAATTTCCTGTTACTCACTCAATGCAGATGTCACCTGAGGTTGCGATGAGGCAGCAGCAGCAGTTGTTTTAACTTAATCAGACATTTCTTGACAGGAACATTAGCTGAACATTTAGATCCCTTTACATGACGGGATAATTCCTATGGTCACCTCCTGCATCTATCTCTCTGCATAAGTGTTCATAACATATTCCCCCCCCTTGGTTTGTACATTTAAAGTGTGCTTGTGAGAAGGGCCCGCAAAACAGGTAACCGGGAATTATCCAGTGGCTTGCTCCCCAGACAGACTGAGTGCGTGCGCAATGTGCCAGGCTAGTAATTGAGGGCTCGTAGCAAGAGAGGTTATACCATGTTGGCCTTATTATTATCATTAAAGCGAGAGTTAGCTGGCCGTCTAAGGCCAGGTCAAACAGGGAGCTGTTCCTCCAGACAAACCCCTGTGCGTCCAGTCAATCAAATACTGCCCAGTAGTAATTACTGCCATAACTGCAAATAACAATTTGTCTTTATTTGACCTCCATGCTGAAACTTTTTTTTTTTTTTTTTAAATTAGAAAATACAAGGTTGTGCTCATAGTGTCAGACCTCTCTCTCTTGCAGCACTGTGCTGTGTGTTTTTAACAATGTCTGTGGGTTATTCCAAGTTTTTTTTAACATATTTAAATTTTAAATGAGAACTGGCTTAGATGGCTGCATGAAATGTTGCAGATAAAACAATAGGAAAGCAGACATCCAACATACAAACGGTACTAAAACTGGTAACAGTAAAATAAGGCTAGTGTGCCATGAAAAAGCTCAATCAATTGAATTCTGCCAAATACTGCATATATGAAATGCATCCATTTGAAATGCTTGTACGTTTTTATGACCAAAACTATAGCATGGAAATGTGTCAAAATGTCAAAACGGAAACATACCACTGTATTTCATTTTTTTTGCTTTTGTATTTTACTTCCAGTAATTGGAAGTAATTGGAATAACTTCTATGAAAACAAACATTATTTTCTTCAAAAACAAAAATATCATTAATATTATGTATCTTTTACAAGTCAGGAGGGAGACAGAGTTCTTGTCGCAGACTGGCAAACCAAACAAAACAGCAAGCAAAACAGCCCTGGACAAAAGATGAAGTTTTATCAATAAAGATGTTCTTTCTAAGAAAATAATCACTGCGGCCAAACACAACAAGGCGCAGGATCCAGAGTTCTTGTCGGAGGTTTGCCAGCAGACAATTATGAAGGAAACTGCAGCAGAGTGGACAGGGATGATGCAACAGCCCCCCCCCCCCCCCCCCCCCCTCCCCCTGAATGTTCCTTTCCACCTGTCCCAGTCCACATTCCAGCAGCATGACCTGCTCATCTGTGTCCCCTGCATGGAGAGTCCGGAGGGTCTGTGTAATAATAAGGGATGATGTGTCTGCCAGCTCAGCTCCCATGTGTCATCTGCAACGGGTTTGTCGAAGGGGGGGGGGGAAGGATGAGGGGGAGAAGAGCTGAAAACAGGCAGATTAAAGTGCACAATAACACTTTTTTTCATCATTTACTATGTCCATTGTACGTGTGAAAAATGAGCCAGCAAGACCACCACAAAAACAACACTTGGTAGGAAAAAACACCCCTTTGTTCCCTTCAACATCAAAATACATGTAATATTTCCCTGCTTTGTGTGGCTTCTTCACTATTGGGGTTTTCCCAAAGTTTAAGTACTTTATACTGGCAGTGGGAGCTGACAAAAAGCGTAAAAATAGTGTGCTGAAACGTGACCTAAGAAGCCACCCCACCGCTGTTATGATCCAAATAGCTTTATTGTCTACCCTCTCATATATCACTTCACTCCCATCCGACTACCTATTCTTTCCCTCATAATCATTAAGTGATCGTATTTTCCCGGGTCACTGAGGTAATTGAGTTACTGTTTATCGTCCGTTTGCAACATAGCAGGGACACATTGAGGCAGAGGAATGCATACAATATATAAAAAATATGATATTACCCCAAAGGTTTTGTGGATATACAATAAATAAGATCCTAATGTGCTGTGACACATTTGGCACATCGTGTTACATGTGCAAGACATACTTATACACTGAGACACTCTCTCTTTTGCGCCAGATCATAAAATAAACACCATTTTTACAGCCTCAAGGCCCGGGCGTCCCAGCATCATTAAATACGCGGTTCTTGCTAGACAATCAATTGTGTCAACAATGTTAAAGTTGTTTTCCATATGAGGCGGTGCGTTTCCTTATGTACCCTCAGCTGTCCTCGTGTGGCTGCACTGACCCCCGGCACAGTTTACTGAGAGTTTCACTTCCAAAGCTGTTCCCAAAAAGCTTCTGACACAGACAGCGGTAGCCGCCCTGAAGCTGACGCTTTATATATAATAAATCAATGGATTTAAAAACAACATTTTTCAAATAGTTCAAAATTACTCTTGGCACCATCGTTTCCATGAGAGACCCTGAGCTTCTTTATCTGATTGTGCTTTATCAGTACGTATGAGTGGTGGAGAAATAGTTGCCGGCAGCAAATTCTTTCTAACCGGACTTTGCATGAGAGCAAATACCTGAGCGTTAGAAGCTATTTCCCTCCTCTGGCCGGCAGGAGATCAGTGAATTGTGTGTTTTGGCAAATGCCGCAAGGTAGGACTAGAAATAAAAGTTCTGACGGGCCGTGGAATTCCTGGGGTCGGGATTCGAGGAACATGCCCGGCCCGAAGCGAAGACGAGCCCAGATCCCCCCGCGGGCAACTTCAACCTTACACAAGTTGTCTGCAACACACAACACAATAGATGCACACACATACACACAATAAGCAGACAGTCCCCTACCCCCTTCCCTTTGTTGTTGTTGTTTTCTCTTCTGACCCTCTCACAATGGAAAGGCATCTCCGCTCTCTGAGGGGGCCGCAGTGAGAGATCGGCTCGTTTGCAATACAATAAACGGAATCCACACAGGCAACACTCTGCGTCTCCCGTGGACTTTGGTCCGCTAATGGTTCGCAGATACTAGCATCAGATAAGACGCGGCCATGCCAACTTCATTGTGAATAGCGAAACCCACTCAAACTTTTCCCCTTTTCCGTCCAATGCAGGTACAGCGACTGGAAGGCCGGCTCGAAACAGCACCAGCCTCTCGGCACAGGGGCCGTTTGTTGCTGAGGCCCCGGCAGCATCGAGGCGCTCGGCGAGGCGCTTGACACAAAGCTCCTTTGAGCTTGAGCATTGTCTCCTACCCAGCTTGTTCTCTATGATTTCTCAGCAATCCGCTATCGTACAAGGCCCTGGCCTACTTCTGCGCAGGAATTCGACCCATGACATCAGTCGGCTGCAAAAGGGGCCAGAGCCTTCCCGTCGTGAGGTCTTTCCGAGGTCTTAATGGTGCACCAATGGTCACACACACACACACACACATAGGCCGCAATGAAAAAGATGCCTAAGAGGAGGGGCCAGAGGGAAAGAAAACAGAAAACGTGAGAACAGAAACGGGAAAGAAAGACTGATTAATCCTCCCTTTGGTGGTGTTCTTAAAACGTTTGATTGAACCGCGGGACCTCCCTCCCCTCCCCCAACCTGTCTGCTGCTCTGTGAGGTGGTTTGATGTTTCATTCTTTCTTATCAATAGCACCTTTGCATCAATTACCACATAAAAACATCCTTCAGAGGGCCGGGAACGGGGGACTGCTTGGGGGGAGGGTTCTCTGAGGGAGTGTGGGAGACCACCTCCTTGTAGCGCATTCCAGGCTTTTGTCATCCCTGGGAATTTGTTTCCTGTCAACGTCTTAAGCCAATAGATGATATGTTATCGGGACGAGAGCAGCGTCCACCCCACGCCGCGGGGAGAGAAGAAAATACATCTGAGGAAATACCTCTTAAGTGAGACGTCTCCCTCTGTGAAAAATGGTTCCTGGTTCATGTGCACGGCGGTAATAACTAAAACAGAATGAGGATACTCAATCGGTGGTGTCGTTATCTAAAGGAAGGGAGATGACTTACAACAGTTACCAAGCAAGTTGATTAAGTGTAGAGGGTGACGTGTTCATATTTCATATTTCCCAGTAAACCTCCCTCTGTCCTGCCAACCACTACATCACCTATTCTGATCCCAGCAGTGAAATTGATGCCCAGCTGCTGCTGAATGGGTTTTTCTTTTGTACTTCTCGCTCCATCTCCTTTTTCTTTATAGCTGTCTTAGATTGAAAATATAACTTTAATAATAATAATAATAATATTTATTGTTTTTTGACGCTGCAACTCCCAAAACATTTCCTGCTTTGTTATATTCTTGAGATTCACAGTTTTCTCCAGTGCAATCTGTATCCAGCACCTTCTTCCCTTTCAGATCCACTTCTCCCTTTCATCCCTCTCCATCTCTACGACCGACTTGGAAGGAAGTGACTGTGGGCCAGTGGTATGTCTGCAAAGTAAACAGGGGCCAACGGAGCCCTGAGCCCAGCTTATCAGGTCGCGTCTGTCTGATTGACCCTCCACTCCCTCTTTGTTTAGACGTCCTGACAGGCGGGTCACTATTCCACATCCTCCTCCGCCTCTGTTCCATTATTCCCACAATTTCATGTTGTAAAAGTGAAAGGCCATGTTTGACTTCTTTTTCTTTCAAGAAAAAACAAGCAGCCCGGAGGTGCTTTTGGGGGAAACCAAACACTGCGAAAAAAGGAAACTAACACCTGAGACACCGCAGGTCATAACGCTTAGACAAGCAACTCTGGTATATGGCTCATCCTAAAGGCACAGCGGGGAAATGCAAACCCAGGAGAAAGGTATGGGCTTGCTGTGGGCCGTTAGCAAATATTTACAGCTCCCTTGGAGGAATGCAGAGGAACGTCTCGATCGGAGGTTACTCACCTCGCACCATCCTCTTTCCCCCGTGTGTGTGTGGCACCGCCGCGTTCTTCAGCTGTTCCCCGGGTCTGTCTGGGGTGCACTGTGGCCTGTCAGATTAAAGCTTCGGTCTCCCAGTCTTACTTAAATGCCACAGGCTTTGTTTTCACAGAGGCGGGGTGCAGAATGTGTGTGATCTCTTGTTGGCCCCCCTTCTCATCCATCTCTGCCAGAAGCTGAGGGGGCACATGGGGGTAAATGGGGGTTCGGGCGGGGGCAAGGGGCAGGGTCACACAGGGGGAAGAGCAGGGTCAGAGGTTAAGCTAGGTTACCTTCAGCCGTTGCACTGGAGCAGCAAGGAGTTGGAGAGGCCTATCAGACACACAAACACACCTATACATGCACACACACACACACACACACACACACACACACACACACACTTCTCTACCCACCAGTAATAAAGCCTTCCACTGACATTCGCTCATGTTTGCAACACTGCCGTTATTCATGCAGAGTGTGGCCTGTTATTGAGTGCAGATGTGGGGCTGTAATGAGCAGTGGCTCTGGCACGGACCAACCAGTGATGAACAGAAGGCTTTGCTGTGCCCAGAACCTGGAAGAAGAGAGGAACGAAGAGTGAAACGAATGAACTGAATGAGATGTCTTTTGAGAAATCGAAGGGTCTTTTCACAGGTGCAATACATGATGTTGACAGTCACCTGTGAGCTCTCGGTGGAGCTGTGTAACGACGTTGGTGGGTATGTGGTTAGACAAACCGGAATGGTCTTATGCATTGTGCAAAGACAGGGGGCCTCAGTGGGGTCTAAGACCCCTTGATTGACACTCCAAACCCTTGAAAACCTTCACCTGCTGTTGTCACTAAAATGTATTTTAAAGCAGCAGTTATTTATTTATTATCAAAACGGAAAAAATAGTTAGGAGTATGTATAGTGATTGTGTGAGAGGATTTACTCCCATTGGACAAATAACATTCAATGCCTCTTTCGTTCATTCAAAACACAAGATAAAGTAGACTCTCCTCTTCTTGGATACCAGAGCAGCAAATAGAAGAAAAAGATGTCTGTCACATGCAAGTGCGTCCAGAGTTGTGTAGAGTCTAGTTGCCTTTTTTTTGCATTCACGGACTATTTTCTATTATGTACTGAATGTGTGTAGAACTTTAGCGTAATGCTGGAGCCCTTAACTATCATTTAATTTCCCTTGTTAGAGCAAGGGAAGGATTAGGTATCAGTGTTAGCCCACGGACGCGCGAGAGAGGCAATAGCAGGAGTGACGGGAACTCGCTGTGACTATATAGTCTTCCCCTATGGACTGATGCAGTCCGCATCGGATTGAGTGAACAATGGTCAATGGCTGTTGGAGCCTTGTCGTACCCAATCAGCCGGTATCAAGCCCTACGGTTCAAAGATCACTTCTGAGGAAATGTACCTTTTGTACGTCTGCCAATTTTCTCAAACTATGATGGATTTAAAAATAGTTACTATATATAAGATCAAAGCAGGGGCAATTATTATAGTTTACTCGACTCGAAGTTAGACATGAGTTCTTTTTTACAAGTAAATATATCCTCTTTTTAACTTTGCATCTGCACTTTTTAACTGTGAATTCAGCATAATTCTTGCAGTATTTCCTCACGAAGGAGAACTATTGAGTAACTACGGGGGGCCATTTGAAAGTGTTTTTCGCTTCCCCAAACTCATTTCGGCACTGGGGTGAGTGATCAAGCTAAAGATAGTGTGTGTCATCCAGTGATTCGTCATGTGGGAGGGAGAAATTCAGCAGCTGATTCAGGTTTAGCGTTTGTCCTGCTTGTTGTGCAGCAACCCAAATTCCGCTTTGGTGCAATTCTTTTCTATTGTGACAGAATCTGTGAAATTGTGATTGTCCCAAGTCTAGAAAAACAGGATAACCAGCAAAGCATCTGAATGAAAGCAAATAACAAAACGTTTGGGGCACAAACCGTTGCTCGGTGTGCTGCTTATGGAAAGAAAAGACCAAGGTTCAGAAATAAACACATATCTAGGTCTGTTCTAGAATTCTGGGAACATTACGTGAACATTACTCTCTCTGACGCAATGACACACACCAACTGTGAAGGCCACACATACAGAACTGGACTCTGGTCAGATTCAATACAACCAACATTAATTCCCCCAACAGATTCAGTCTGTTGTTGTTGAATCTAATCGCCTGCTGTGACCATAGTGATGATGAGGTTAAGAGGAAGAGGGAGGCTCCAGCAGCAGAACGTTCAATTACACTGTGCACTTGTCTGAGCCTCTGTCCATGGTCCTGAAACACTCATCTACACCCATAGAAGTAGAGCAAGTAGATCAGCCCGAACACAGGCTTGGTCCGAAAAACAGAAGCAGTTCGTCATCTGAAAAATATCTATTTGGATGCACCCAAAAAAACGGCTAAATGGCCACATTTGCTCGTCTTGCAGATGTTGCCGATGTCTCAACACAAAATGACACTGCTGTAAGCGAATGCTGCTTTTATTTGTGTCTGAGGCCAGACATGTGAACAATCACTTTGTAAGTAAACTATTTAAAGTTAAAAGTGAAATGTGAAGAGAGCAATCTTTTAGCATTACCATCCGCTGCGGCTTCCCAGTGTCTTCTGTCCTTTTCTTCCCCCTGCCTGAGCATCCCCGCCTTCTTTGTTTTTACTGTCTCTTGAGCTCTCCTGAGATGTGAAAGAAGTAAGTGTGCCGGGAAGAACAGAGCACTCACCTCAAATTGCGTTCACTCACATAATGCATGAGGAGACGTCCTGAGTAAACACCACAACAGGAAGGGTCTGAATCTATGAAACATCCTGCTTTCTGAAGGATAAATGGTACGCTTTAAATAAGTGATCGTGACAGCCGCTGTGACTAATACAAATATGAGCAGACGGGGGAACAGTCTATGCTGCTAAATACCAAGAGGTTGAACTGGATCCGTTAATTAGACACATTTCTCACCATTTTAACAGAGTGCTGATGTTGAAAGCGAGCCAGGGACTTGCTGCGGATGTGCGTACGTGTCTTACTCACTTCAAGCCACAGACCATAAACCCAGAAAGATCCTGCTGCGAGCTCCTGACCTTAAGTCCCCTATTGAGGTCCACCTCACCCAAATTCACTCCTCATGTCTAACACATACTCAATGAGCTTTGCTTTACTTTTATTTTCTTCTCTATTATACTAAGTAATGTTGGATAAGCTTCTAGAAGAAAAGAAAAGCTACTATTCTGAAATTAACTTGTTGAGCTTGTTTGTGTTGCAGCACAAAGCACGTCCACTGAGCCTGAAAAAACGGTAGCCAAAACTAATACTGCAAAAGGTACTTCTGTGACCGCTATTGTGCTTTATGTAATATTATTGTATGTATTATTATTATTATTATTCTATCGCAAAACAAAATATGAGAGCTTGTGGAACACAGCAAGCATGCTGTTGATGTGTGTATGTCACCGGACATTTTACGGCGCTTCAGCTTTCCTATTGGTGGTGCAAACAGTAAAACAGTAAAAAAAAAAACGATCTTAAAGGTATGTAGATAATTGGCGCACAGAGGCTGTGAAAATATCAGATTTTCCGACATGAAAAGTACTAACACCTTCTGTCAGCTGATTGGAGTTGGAAGCGGGACATGAATAAAATCTGGGCACCGCAACCACGAGCGGGACAACTGGGCACCCAAAACGATATACAGGATACTTAAAGGACGTCCGCATGCACTAAAAGAGTATCCTGAATCCTTCACAGAGGTCTAATCTTTTTACAAAACCTCTGTGTGTGAGAGGTCGACTTCTGAGGTCAAATTATGGTAGGCCGTATGCCATGTAATTTTACAAAGCTAAAGTCTACTGCGTTAATACTATAAGTATTAATCGCCACCATCCTCCATTGTTGTCTTAACACGTCTCTACCGTCGCCCTTGTTCCTTAAAGCATTCAAAAATGCACGGCCGTACAATTTACACAACATGGGACACGGAGTCAGCCGAAGCTCAGTTTGTGTTTAGGATTAATTAGCTCATGGTAATCTCAGCTCAGATGGAGGAACATACTGTACCGGGGGGGGGAACTAAACACCTCGTTTAAATCGTAACTATTCAGAGCACTCTCTGAATTTGGCTGATTTGCGGGGTTCTTTGAGGATCCTGTTAAGCGGAATAAAAAGGGTTCAGAAATGACCCCTTCCGATATCACAACCTCCAACTTGCCGTGACGGATCAATGATTAACCAGTCTTGATAAGATTTGTTGGCTGAGCAGATAAGGCCTCTTGTGTCAAACACAAGGGGAGATCATTGACAATCGCACAGCATTCTGAAAGTCCAACGCTTCCGCAGCAACCTTCCTTTTCGTAGAAGTGGAAGGGTGATTGACTCACCTTCTCTCTATGTGAGATGTGCTAACGAACCTGTTCTGTGTTTAATGGACGAAAGAGCTGTTAACGAATCAAGTGTAGGTGTTTCACTTCATAATTGAACATGCTTGGACGGATGGGACGCAAAGATGATACAAAGAAAGTTGACTGTAGGAACAACAACTTTTTTATGTTTGGGATTATCTAGAGCTATTACATATGCATATCTAGATACTACGTATGTCCATCGTACTTGACGTGGTATCCATGTGGTTCCCAGAGTACTGTATAATGTTTTTAAATCAACACACATTGACATAGTAATACTTTTTTAAACAAATGTACCATCACACAACTTTTTGTGGGGAGAGGTTTGTAAAGAAAAGCTAAAATGACAGGGTTATATTTTCCTCAGGTCCGTCTCAATGTACCCAATGTACCCTGAAAGAGAGAGAGTTATTTTTGCCGCTACTTTTTTTTCTGTCTATTCTTGCCAAATTGAGGCCTCTATGATTGCAACCTCAGGGGCAATAACTGTGAGCATGTTGCTAGTTGATTTAGGACAGACAGGACAGAAATGTTAAGAATAAAGAGCTACACTACCACTAAATACTTCTCGTTTTCTGTAGCCAACCAAAGAAAAAAAAGAAAAATCAAGCTACGCCTTTGTGAGACCGATTCAGGATTTTCAAGTGTCAAGCACATCTAACATGAATAGACTTGATAAATGTTGCACCCCTTCTTTCCATATTCGCCGCTCAGCAACGTTTGTTGGCCCGGTGCTAAAGTTGAGTGTCCACGCCTCTGAGGTCGACACCTGACTGTTATTCCTGGGAACAGGACGTGTGGTGGAACAGGACACGGGGCAGAGCTGCAGAGGGAACTCAAACACAAGAGGGGCTGTCGGCGGGGCTGACGATAACAGAGAACCAACCAGAAGAGGGAGAAGCCAAACTCCACCCTGATCACGATGGCTGCAGAGCGTAGACTCCATGAGCTTCATACTCGGTCAGACCTTCCCTCCCAATGGGGACGGACTTAGGTGTTTCATCAGATCTTCCAGAGCCTTCATTCATAAATTCGGTAGAAGTTCATTGAAAAAAAAAACAGGCATCAAAATCTTATCGAGTAAGATCTTCTAATTAAAACCAGATTTCCCTTTCAATAGAAAAACAAGAGCACGCAGCTGTACACTGACACTTACTTTTCTGTGGGATTGATAATTACTATTGATATAAGAGTCAATAGCAGAGCTGATTTGACCGTGAGCTTTAGTAACAAAGAGTGGCGGTGGACAGACTCAAAGAGCAGGATAATTGAACGTGCTTTCAGTGGCCTGTTTGAAACTACTGAATGTGAACGTGAGCGCGCTCTCAGGAGTTGGGAATGACAAGTGCAATCAACGAGTGCGTTTGGCTCCATCGTTGTGAGAATACGTTCAATTCAGGTCTGCGAATGGGGCGGGCGGGGGGGACTAACCCATGGGACACTGAAAAAGGGAAACCGATTCAGTTTGGTGTCTGTTCTTAACTTTCTCTACCTCAAACTGACCCCCCCGTGTTCTCAATCTGAAGGCAGGCAAAGTCCCTAGAATAGCTTCACGTGGTTCCCCGTTTGCGCACGCACACTTTTCTACTGCAAACAGACACTAAATGTGAATTTAAATTCCAGGCAGGGAGCAAAAAACTTTGCTTAGCACAGGTTGCCCTTCAGCAGATAACTCTGTTTGATGAGCTACGTTTTGGACCTTGGGTTCAGCGATGGGCTGGGAATGAAATCTTCGTAGAGCAACAGACTTTCTCATCATGATATCACTTTACTCGCTGTGCTCTGATGAAAAATAGAAAATAAATAAAGAAGTTGTTTAATCGTCAAGATTATTGCTGGAGATTCCTGCAGCAACTAAAAGGAATCTCAAAGACCTCAAAGTCGTACAATGGGTACACAGTTCCTTTTGGAAATGTTATATTTCAAATCAGATTAGCGTTTTTTTAAACAAGAAGTCGCATTTCTCAAATAAAAATAGTCGTGAACACACCTCAGCTGCATGAAGACAACAAAGGCCGTGCAGTCGCCTGCAGTTTCGTGGCATTCGCAGGCCATTGATGCCCTCATTCTTTTACAGAGTGTACTACAACAATATTTAAAGATGAAGTCACCCTTTCCCCCAGTAATGCTCGAAGATATTTGCTCAGCCAGAGGATCACGATATCATGATGTCACAGAGGATATGACCTCATGCGGCTCGGGTGACGTAATTGCTACCACGTGCGCGGTGCCCGGACATTCCTGAGGTCGGTTGGCGTTGAGGGAGTGATAATCATTCATGTCATCGTGATAACGTGAGAACGCTACAAAACAAGGTTTTGTTTTAAACGCGTGAGAGCGCATTCCACCTTACTATGAAATGTGACAGAATTCCCTCCGAAAGCTGGCGTTTCAACACTGTTGGAAATGCCAGAGGATTTCCATGCAGGCTGTGTCGTCTTTAGCCGCCTCTGGGGATTTTCGTCTGGGTCGTTGTCGTTGTGACCTGAAGTGCTGTGTGAGTTGCACGGGCATGAGCAAGTAAAAGTACAATTCGGTGTTCCAGAGTGGAATTCGAGGAATACGTTAACGGCTTTCCTGCTGATGCGCGGTCGAAGGCCGTTGGTGAAAGGCCTTCTTGATTTCAAAGGCCACATTGTTTATGCTGCCATCTACGGTTGTCTGCACGGGACAGAGCTCTCTTCCCCTCTCCCTCCCTCTCTCCCCCTCCAATGTATGCTTAGTAAAAGTCAAATACATGTGACACGCGAGAGGAGCGCGGTCACATCCAGTCCGGCAGCTGATGTCTTGTTTTCATCATCTGTCGCTTTGGTTGAGGTTTTTGAATGTCTGACTTCATGTTCTGTGATGCACCCGTATGAGATAAGATAAGATAATTGTGTTATTGTGGTTACATGAACAGAATTGATTGGGCTGTAAGATTGAGCTAGACCGACGAGAAGTCCTAAAGGTCAAACATATGGAATGAAGAAGAATTCCGTTTGATAATAAAACCGCTTGCATTGTCTCACTGTAAATCCAAACATCATATTTAATTAAAAATAGTAAATTGACTTAAATCAGTTTTATGAAATTGCTATTAACACTCACTTTTAGTAAGTTACTTGTAATTTATGGTTGGAAAAGCTCACCAGCTCAATCTGCTTGAGTTGGATTAATTTAGAAAAAGTAAGTTTTTGATAATTGTGCTTTTTTCCTGTGTTTTGAATGTAGCTAAGTACATTTACTGAATACTGCATGAAAGTACAAAGTACTTAAGTTTTTTTTCATATTACTTTGTACTTTTACTCCACTACATTTCAGAGGGAAACCTTATATGTTTTACATCACTGCATATGTAATAATATAGGTGATAATAATAACCACAAGAGACATTTTCCTCTATTGAGTATGCTACTTTTTATTTAAGTATTAAGTATTTATTTTTGTGGTCATATGTTTTTACTTATTTGAAAATGTCACTGCAGGACGTGTACTTGTATTGTAACAGAGTAGTTTCACGGAGTGGTAGTAGTACTTTTTCTTTTTTTTTTCAAACTATTGGCGCAAATCCGTCCTCTCTCCACGTGACGGTCCGTGCCCGCAACGAACAACGCGGAGCTGAACTTATTAGAGGAGCTGGACCATATGAGCTGCACCTAATCTCTGCACCGGCACTTTGCACCGTTTATCAGCATTATTGTGCTTGACACGCTCATTTGGTGAGTAATATTTGACTCTTGTTTAGACCGTTTTCTTTCTGTAAGTAAGCGCCATGTTTTTCGTGCTTGCTAGTAGCCTAATGGTGTGTGTAGTAATGTCGGATAACGCTAGCTGGTAACGTTGGATGAAGCTTGGTCAATGCTTTATTATTTTTTCTATATTTCTTCATCAGTGTTGTAAATAGGGAACATTAAGGACTGTCACGTTAAAGTTGAGGAGAAACGTTAGTGTAACGGTCGCGGGCGTGCTGTCACGTGCATGAACACACCTGCTGTCGGAGAGCCCAATGATTTATTGAGTACTGACTCACGATGAGAGACTGATTCCGGCGGTTTGTGAGTTTCCATGAACAGGAGGACATTCACATGGCAGAACACCAGAGCAAGTCTTGATATATCATTTTAGTTTAAGCTAGTTTAAGCTAGGCTGCTAGGTTTGGCACTATGCTAACTTAGCTAAATTTAGCCACCAAAAAAGCAGTCTGTGCTTGTCAAAGACAGTGGGTGACTGGGAATATCACCACAGTCAACTAACTTAATGCTATTTTATTTAACCCTATTTTATCTAACCCCCAATGTATTTAGCTCACTTTCCATTGTAGCACGTGTACCGCGCCCACAGTTAGTAGCGCAGTGCTTGTCTGGTTACACGAGGAACGCAGTGAGCCCACGGATCAGACTCCCTATCTGAAAAGATCTTAACACCCAGTTTATCATAGGGAACGTATACTCAGTGGCCTAAGTTAAGGTTATTCTTTAAGGTCATGTTGTCTAGAATATGTACATTATAATACTGTCTTTGTGGGTAATAGGCCTATGATACAGTTTTTACTTGTACTGGACTCAAGATGTTTGTGCGTTGTGGTCAGCTTTGGTTGTGTTAAATTGTTCTATTCTTTTTAACTGTCCCCTTACAGGCTCAGACATATAGTGATCAATCCACAGTTCCCTTAATGTCCAGCCACATAATTGAGTTGTTTATCATTTACCTTTTGTACTGCAGCGTTCATTACAGCTGACAATTAGATACATTTTTTTATTTATTTTTCTATAGCTCTGGTATTTCAAATCTGATACTGCATTTTGCTGGCCTTGATGTTAAACTTATCTTTTCTTACCTTTCAGATTTTTAAGAAGACTTCCTATGCAGCGGACGTGTAAGTACTGCACATTTTGTGCTGAAAAGAGGGGCTATTTACTTAAGCGTAATGCATGGGTGCCACACCCGAATATCACCACTACCGTGCCTTCATAAGGAGTGTCTGTGCACATTTAAATCTTTCAATGACCTCAAAGTCCACTTATCAACATGGCACACTCAAAAGGACCTAAGGAACGTGAGTGAAACTGCTTTCCATTGTAAAAAAAGGAGCCTGCTGTACACAACATGGTTGAACGATGGCCAGCACTCTTCACAGAGCGACAGGTAAGATATTTTTGTTCTCAACCAATAAAATAATGCCAGTCAAAAATACATTTAAGGTGTGTGGCTAGAAATCCAAACACAGTTGAAATGTTAACACCTCTCCATCACTACCCACCCCTCTCTCTACTTTTTAAGGTGTTTGCCGAGTTTAATCGAATCGCCAGTAAGAATCTTGAGGGAGACTTCTTTGAGGCTCTGGACCAGTACACCCCGCGGCTCATAGACATTTTCAAAACAAAAAAAGGAACTGTTGGCCGGAAACTCAGTGAGCTGATGCAGCACATGAGCTGGATGGTAAGTAGGTTAATTTTGCTTTTGATCTGTATGATACTTCATCAATCAAGTTCTAAATGAGATGATCCAGACCAACCTGTTCTATTTTCTGTCTGACCTGTGCGTGTGCCAAATAACTCAGTTAACTGGTCTTTTCTCTCTCTCTGTATCATTAGACACCAGACGTGACAGTACTTCGCTCTGTTGTCCTCAAAGGCATTTTGATAATACTTGGTGACGACGCCAGTGAATTCTTCAAGACATGCTCTGTAAGTACTTACACATAAGTAAAAGTTTGGTGTGTATTAATATAAACTATACCTGTGCTGACAGAAGATGTGATTCTATCTGCACAATATACAACATACATTTTGTATAATAATATGAGAGGTATTTAAACAGCCCGTACATAAACATGTACATTAATTCATTTTAAATCTAAGGAGCAGAAGTCTAGGTTAAAAGGTCGGTGTCACTGTTCAAGAATATATGGACCTTGTGGACACCAGCTTCAGTTTAACCATACCAAACTTATTTTGTTGGACAATCCATGTGAACACATATTTAAAATCATATTCTCTAGCAAATGCTTTTAACACTAAAAATTCGTGTTTTAGAAGAGCATAAATTGCCAATACTGACGAATGTGTGTGTGTGTGTGTGTGTGTGTGTGTGTGTGTGTGTGTGTGTGTGTGTGTGTGTGTGTGTGTGT